TAGAATCACTATCTAGGCCGGATATATCCAACTTGTCACAATCCGCAAACTCGCCATATCCTTTTAGTTCACCATCATGCAAAAACGGAACTTCCTGTTTTCCAGATTCATTACCAACCTTATTCACCACGGCTACTGCTTTTTTTTGTCAAATGAATCATTTACACCAACATCATTAACATATGCACCAACATCATTATCACCGATATACTTATAATTCTCCGGTGTAACATACATAATCGGTTCTGGCACTACATTTACATTTTCAGCAACACTATGATATTGACTTTTACTTGGACTTTTAAAATTACCTATTGGGTTGTTGCTCCCTTTTCCACTTGATAAATTTGCTGCATATGCCTTTCCTCTATCATCCATTTCGTTCGGCCAAACGCCTTCTTCAACCACCACATACACAGACACATATTTATCTCCAACGCCATTTATTACCTTCATCAGCTTTCTAATATCACGATCATCAACAATACCACAATAATAGAGTTGTTCTGGATGTTGATAGGCCAAACTAACTTTTGATTCTTCGGGAAGACCCATCTTGCACTTGACCAACTGAACAAATTCGGTGAACGTTGTGTTTTCGTAAAATTCAACACCTAAATAAAACATTCTCGGATTGTATCCCAGTGGCCAAACATATGATAATTGGGAATTAATAAACTCCCATCTTCCATCCATAATGAGCAATACAAAATACTCGTTACAACTCATTATCTTAATTTTGAGGATAAAGAAGCTAGAGAGAATAAACTTTCCAAAAATATAAAATAATATATATAAGATAGGTTGAAAACAGTAGTCAACTTTAACGAAAAAGTAGTCAAGTTTAACAAAAAAGTAGTCAAATTTAGCAACAAAGTAGTCAACTTTACCCAAAAAGTAGTCTACTTTTTTCGTCAGAGTTGACTACTGTTAAAATTAAAACAAAATAATTCAAACCAAATAATTGTTAAAATTTAAACAAAATAATTGTTAAAGTTATTGTACATATTATAAACACTCTTTTTTATACTCTATATTACAAAAAAAATAATTAAAAAAATTAAAAAATTAAAAATTAAAAATTAAAAATTAAAACCGTAGTTTTTTGGCCAAAATAGTAGATAAAACCCCCAAAATAGTAGATAAAACCCCTCCCAAAAAAAAATGTAGCTTTTTTTGCGAAAACCGTAGCCTACGGTTTGGGAAACCATCGGTTTCGAGAGGAAACCTTAGGTTTTAAAAAACCTACGGTTTTGAATGTCAAAAATGAAAAAAAAATTATACAAAAAACGAAACAGTAGACGAAATGGCGAAACAGTAGACGAATCTCGAAACCTACGGTTTCGTGGGCTATTTTTGGCCATTTGCTAATTTTTGGCTAAATATTGTTAATTACCCCCTTAATTTGGCTAGATTAGTAATTACCCCATAGTCTTTTACCTAATATCTTAAGTTCAGTTAAAAGTTTAAAATTATTCTGATGTTGCCCTTAAGTTTGCATTTTATTGAGGATATTATTATTGTGATTTACTTAAAAATGCAAGTTCAATTAAAAATTTGAAGTCATTTTGTATTAGTAAAATATTATATCTGCAAAGAAATGCAAACTTAAAAGTTGTTTGATATTTGTTGATTAAGTCAGATATGATTGAGTCAGAGTTAACATCTTATCAGAGACTATATGACCGAATCAAATGCTTTTAATTATAATATCAAACAATCTGAATTTGATCGAGTCAGATCTAGTATCCCATTAAAATTTGAAATGGACATGAGATTTATTTGAAATGGACATAGAGATTTTAGGAAAACATAAGAGCAAATTTATAATCTACTATTTTTTAATGAAAAAAAGGATCATGATCCTATGATATAGAGCATACCCACATGACGATTGAATATTTTCTTTAACTTAAAGAGATATATGATTGGCCAAAAAAATTCGTCTAAATCTTTTAGTTTATGCTTTCGTGTTTGGTTCACTTAAAAAATTCAGTAATTTTTTAACTCAAAAGATGGATGCTATAGGACATGAATCTTTCAGTTTATGCCCTTTTTACTTTTTAGGGTTCACTAGATTTAAATTATATGTGACAAAAGGGAGGCTCGGTGGTTTATTAATGGGTCAGGCAAGGTGGGTCTAAATTGATCTATCAACATTTTTATGTATTCGATTAAAAATTTATAAATAGTTAATGTATGATATATGATTATAAAACTTATATTCAAAACTTAAAATTTAATTTTTAGACACATTGATTTTGAAACTGTAAAAATCAAAGTACACCATTGTCAACTCTTTTATATAGATAAGCTTTCTAGGATGCAATAAACATACTATGTTCTTAACAAATGTCAAATGGTATGAGTAGATATCAATCAAAGACAATATAAAAGTTCCCCTCTTCAATAACTATAGTTTTAATAAGATATGATATGATTTATAACCCTTATAAGATAAAGCAAAATCATTTGAAATCGTTTCAAGATTTTATATTAAATTTTACAAAGATTGATTCGTGTAGCATTTCTTTTAATAGGTTTGGCATCAATCATGTGAAACTGTATCTCTCAATAGGATCTTTTGCTTTCTCATTACTACCACCTCATAGGAGTTCATTAAAGAAATATAAATTAAAAGGTAAAAAAGAAGTCTTATATTTTTTTCAACCTACAAAATACCAAAATCCATAAGTGAAGTTTTATATTCAAAGTATCACTTTTTTTGTGAGGAAGATTTTCTAAATTACCTTATTTTTGTGTTGGATTGAAACCGATTGGTCGAGGCACCAAGAATAACATCTAGTCGTCTACCCACTTAGAAATATGAGAAAGAAGATGATTTGGGTTTAGGGATCTTTTGGTAGTTGTTAATTGGGTTAGAGCTGATTGAGTTAGAAGTTCTGAGTTAACTTCTGATTGAAACTTGTTGTTTGATTTTGCATCTGACCGACTGTATAAAATGACTATATTATCCTCAAACAACATTTTTTATAATACTTCCTTTATAACATCATGGATAGGTACAAAGAATTTCAATGAAAGAAATACATTGACACTTCAAAATAGCAACAAGAATCACTTCAATGTAAGGGCAAAACTGTCAAGAACATGATTCAGGCTTGCATAATGATATGCATATCATACTTCAAACAACTAATATACTAATGAATCTCTAATAGGAAAGAATGAAAACATTACTCTGTTTATCTTGATGAATCGAAAAGTGAAAATCAAATCAAATACACACAAATCATCAACACATTATGTAACACCGTGATTTTTCACCTATTTTTTTTAAAACATCATTTAACAGATTATAGCAATGGAAGTCTTAGTTTATTATTTAGAAAATATCACAAACATTAATTATTTCAAAACTTTCAAAATCAACTCATTAAAATTCAAAGTTTACAAAAGGGACAATGACTTAAAAGGGTAACATATTATTGGTTTTGTACACATTTAGTCCCTAACTTGTTTTTTTGTCCACATTTTACCCTTGAACTTGATGTTGTGTGTAAATTAAGTCCTTATTACCGGTTGATGCCATATTTGCTGACATGGCTGCCTATGTGGACACTCATTAAAAGAAAACACTCCTACGTGGATCATCTCTGAGTTCCATTAATTATAATACGATGCCTAGCCTTAGCTTCAATCAAAAAAACTTTCGAATCCATACCCAAAATCGAAGAAGAAGATGTCGACTCCCAGTTCATCTGGTTCCATCGCAAAGAAATAGGAGCTTTGTTAGTGTTGACTCCCAGTTCGAATATGCACATCCAAGACTAAAGACAACCCTAACAAAAAGTTCAAAGTTTGCCCCAATTCTCTGGTATGTCGATCTTGATTTCCCTCTGTACTTTTGATTTTCCTTCTAATAAATAAAGATTTTGAGCTTCTTACCATATTTATATTTGATTTCGAAGAAACCAGGTAAGAAGTGTTAGTATTGGGAATGGATTGATGAACGTGTGACTGAGAATCCAAATTTAGAACAAGAAGTGTATATGTACCTTGTGCCCATCTGACATCAATGTGATTCCATTACCATTTCCCCCTTCATCTATGTCTTCCATTATATTTTCCATGAACCACTTCCATGTACTCTTGTTCTCAACATTTACTACTTCCCAGGCTATTGGGTATATGTTATTGTTGCCATCCCTGCCTACTGTTGAGAGGAGCTCCCCTTTACATATGCCTTTCAGAAAACATCCATATATCCCAATAACCTTCCTACACCCATTTAACTAGCCATCAACCACTCCTTTAAAACTCACATAAAACCTTTCAAACACCACAATAGAATTACTTTGAGGCTGTACATACACTTCAACATGAGATCCTGGGTTAGCCCTTTTAATTTCAGCTCCATATTCCCACAGCTTGGAATAACGATCCTTCAAATCACCCTCAATTTCACACAATGCAAATCTTTTTGCATTCCTACATTGTCGAACAGTAACATTTATGTTGAATAACTTGGATATGATAGCTTTCATCTTCCTCAGACTTATTTTAGGGGACTCCAAAATATCAGTCACAAACTATTTCCCTATCCACTTATAGGTAACAATTGACCCAAGTTTGAATGCCCTTGAGAAACTATGGTCTTCTCTAAGGGACTTTATTTGAAATATTTGCTCATTTTTCATCCAGGAAGCCCACAGTCTAAAAGGGCATTGTGGTCATTTTCCTTTACAACACTTTACAAGCAACCTATCCTTGTAATTCTTCTCATAATACAAGTCATATCCATGTGCAACTGCATAGTTACCGAGAGATGACTTAAGTTCAGCAGGAGAAGAGAATCTCATACCTAGTTCAGGCTTCATCTTCCTCCATTCCTGAGTAGCATCATGCCTAGGGTAGACAGTTGGAAGTTTATTGCCTTCTTCATCTTCATCTGCAACAACTACTGGAAATAACTTGTTCAAAAACTTATCATTATAGGTTCTTTTGAAGATTCTTTTGCTTGATGTAACATATTCATCCTATTCATGTTCACAGTTCTCATCATCTGCCAAAACAGAGTCGACATCTTCTTCTGAATACACAAGTTCTTTATTGTCTGATTCTTCTTTCTGAATCCACTCAAATATAAGTTCATTATCGTGGTCAATATACACATCCACATGTCTGTTAGCATTTGAAACCTCAAGAAACTCAGAGTAGTCACATTCATTTTGTAGTGTTTGGAGCCCCTCACTCAATCTCACTTATGGTATACTAAAATACAGATGGTAGCACTGAAAATCGATAAGCTTCTCAACATTTTTGATGAAATCGGAGAAAACAAACTCGTTTGCATCTTCATTCAGTCGTTGTACTTCTAAAGCAAAATACACTAATGGATTAGGCACAAAAGTACCACTATAGTGTACATCGACTTTTGGAAAAGCTTGATTTTCCTCCATTGAATCATAGTGATGTTTTGAGAGAAAAGAAGGGTGAGTAATGAGGCATTGATCAATACCGGATTGTGAGAATAAAGAGAATAGAGCCCTAACTGATATTCGTTCGTAAATGAGGTTTCTTCATAAATGAGGGTGGAAGAGGGTAATTGTCACGTAAGTAATTTCATTTTTCTAAAAATCCCGTAAAACACAAAATGACCGGCTTAACCGGCATCAACCGGTAATAAGGACTTAATTCACACACAACAATTGGTGCACCAGAACCATGTTTCCAAATGGTTATGTAGAAAACCAGTCAACATCGACTTGGCTTAAGCTCTTTTCCTCCAACGATATCCTTCCACCGCGACATCTAATAGGGCAAACACATAAGTAGGTTTCTAGCCTTTTACCCCCACTATATGTATTCCCCTTTATTTTAATTAATTTTATAATTAATTAATTCACTTGCATGGGTCATACATACACCTCACTATTAACATTATGTAATCATGCTTGTATTTTAATTATTATTTCAAGGCATATTACATCACATGTCATACTATAAAAGTATATACTCAAAATTGCCACGTAAATTCATATTTAAGCATGTACAGTGATACACATTTTATCAACAAACTTTCTAGCATGCATTTCCAAGTTTCATTTAAACATGACAAAACAGAATCATAGGATGCATAACATCATAAATAATCCTCACCACTAGCATGATCCTAACACTTTTTTTATGCAAAAAATGACCATTTAAAGGATTCTACCATACAAAAGCTTTCCTAAATCATTTGTTTTTGTGTTACTTCACAAAATCATATTGTAAACATCACATAACCTTATATTATAAAACCCCATACAATTAATTAGACCATACATATGCACTAGAGCAGGAAATTTCCTATACATGTACTTGTACAACCACAAGAAATGAGTCACCTCTAGTACAAAAGAAATGAGTTTGGAACAGAGGAAGTCACCCTAAAATCAAGCAAACAACACCCTACAATAGGACATGAAGACCTAGATCAGAAATGACATTAAAGGAAAAAGTGGATGAAACTGTTCATCAGGCGCGCCGTGCTTACGCGAGAAGCATCTTCGAGATTTACGACCTGTGGTGTTCCAATTCAGTTTTGACCATCCATATGAGGATTTCGACTATAAAGGTGGTTCTAAGAACATCTAGATGGGTCTCATACATGCTGGTAAGAATTTTGGTATCCAAAACATCCCTAACATGTCCACAACACTACTTTGAATGCATGAACATGGTCACCACCACAACAATACAACAAGAATTCAAGATAGGAAAGAAACAAGCATGGATGAGTAGATTATACCTCTGGAAATGTGATGAATTTCTAGGAGAAGAAGCAATGAAGAGGTTTTGATCTCTACAAGAAAATATCACCACTTAGAAGCACCCAAAATCACTACACCACCTCTTAGATCTTCACCAAATCTTTAAGTATGGAAACCAATTATTAGAACTCACTTTAAAGGGGTATAGAGTCTATAATTTAGGTTTAGATGGATGCAATATGGAATGATTCCCGGATTTAGGGTTTAGTGGTGTTTAAATATGAGCCAACTTTCATTCTAGGCCCCTAAAGTGTGAGGAAATGACCCCATGACCGATGTATATGATCAAGTATAATTTTCTTGCACTTGGGACCCTAAAAGTTAACTTTGACCTTGCCAAAAGTAACTTAATGAAGAAACATAACGGAAAAATAACATCGATGATGGAACGGGAAAGTGCGGGTCGTTACACATTAACCCTAGATTAAGAATATTGGTTGGGTAAATGTTGTTCTCAACTTTTTATTTGTCCATAAATCATCATATGTATGACCTAAATACAAAATATGAGAAACTATTTAACTGAGTACCAAAATTCATGGTCATAGTGGTTGACGATGGTGATGACATGGTTTCCCTAGTTCAATCGGAGAAAGGATGGTGATATGCTCGCAAATATGTAGCATGGCGGAAAAAGACCAACATATATTAACTGGAGAAGGATGCTAGTTCAGTCGGAGACGGATGTCAGTTCGATCGGAGAAAGGGATGCCATATCTGTTATTGTTCTAAAAGAGAGAATCGTGTGATGAGAAACGCACACCTTTTTTTCCTTTTCAGTTCTCCTGGAGAAAGAAGGTGGACAGAAGCAGCATCAGATGGAGAAAGAGAAGGGCAAAATGGAGAAGCTTGATTTTGTTCCCAGTCCTTGAAATTTTCATAGCCGACCGAATGAGGGATTTCTATGGACTAAGTCCTAAGTTTTGATCGGGTCCAGTGGTTTTGAAGCATTATGAAACATATCAAATTTGTTTTTTTTGGACAAAGTTAGAAGCTAAATAAAACACCTCCTTACACACGTAACTCATAATCCATCAATTCTTTATGTGATGAAAATCTATAACGCCCGCAGATACGGGCTAGTTAAATTAGAGATAATAAGCGTTAAAAATGACTTTTTGATAGAATATTATTTAGGAAAAATAATCTTAACAAAAGTTATAGTATATGTGACAAGGATTATGTACATATAAAGAATGCTGAAATCTGTCTTCGTCTGAAGAAGTTATGCTTCTTCGAAGTTTCGCGATTAAACCAACACGGCTCTACGTATTGTAAAAAGTGAATCTTTGATAAATTACTTTTTAACCTTAATGATCTAAAAAAAAATCATAGAAGTCGTTAAACCGAGATTGTACATATATAGAACGTCTAAATCTGACTTTGTAAGAGGAAGTTATGATTTTTTCGAAGTTTCGGAGCAACAATATTCGACTCAGAAACCAAAGTAGAGATCTGTTGATTGTTAAGAAAACAATCTAAACGAGAGTTGAAGATCTCGTCTATATGATTCCATCAATATAAAGACAGTCGGGAACGGATATCGTATGAGAGAATTATGAATTTTAAACAGACTTTAACAATCTAAGCTTGTTTAAAATATAGCTTTAAAAATAAAGTCAAAATTAGCCAACACAATTCAAATGAAAGTTGTAGATCTCGTCGAGAGCTTTCCGAGGATAAAAAGAACGTCAAAAACAGAGGTCATATGAGGAATTTACGACATTTTGAAAATATGGAAATGCGCTACATTCTAGAGGCGACACGTGGCATGGTCCGCCACCTAATACTTCAAGAGACGTAGTGACGTGGCACCACACGGTTGCAACACGTGGCGCCACAACAAGACGACACATGGCGAAGTTCTAAAAGAAAGGAAGCGGACTAACGAGTGATGGACACGTGGCAGGGTGGCAGAGGAGCCAACACACCAGATGTACGCGGCGTGTGTGGGTCTGGTGTGCGGTGCGCCCCCTTGTTTTCCTATAAATTGCTTACGAAAATTCCATTTCTTCCTCACCAATTCACCAAAACTCCCTCAATTTATTTCCATTCTTAAGATCCTGCTTTTTTTTTTTTAGGTTTTTGAGTATTCTTGCGGGCCTCTAGCGCATTTAGGAGTCCAACAAGAAAGAATACCCGGGCCGAAATATTTTCCCGTTTTCACTTAAAATCTATATAAGTTAAGCTACACTCTTTTGTTTTCAGTGTAACTTATGTTTATAGGCATAATTCGTTATTATGAACCTACAAATAATATTTATCAGTAATTTCATGCTAATATACTGATTGATCTACTTACGGGAGAGGTGTCTAGAATGGTCACGTTGGATTGGTTGTTGGATTTTAGAAAGGCTACACGCCGAAATGATCCTCCTTCCCAACTGTCCTGTTGATATATCTTGATGTAGACATTGGGATTAGTGAGGAATCTAGACTATAATTATTATGGTCACCAGGATTATGAAACTAGACTAAGGCTTAGTACTTTATGCGTCTAGGTATTTTCATAGTACGAAGCGAAGCACTGCCGAAATCGCCTGTCACCCATTTTTTATCATGTGAGTGCATAGTCTCTTTCATGAACATGATTTTAATACAAGTAATAATTAAAGTATTAAAATATTCTAAAGAGTTTATATTTGAGCTATATGCTTATTACTAGGAATATGTGTTAAGAACATATTTGATAAAATATGATATGTGAACGAAGTACGATTCTCTATGCGTTAAGATATATATATTATTTTATGATATAAGTACTAGGAGTAGATCATCATACTCTTACCAGAGATAAAATATGACTAACACAAAAGACTAAGTTAATTTGTAACACCTTGTTTCGAGTCGTTTCATAATTCGGGACAGTGACCCGAAGATCAAATATCATAAGGCTTTGTGCTTTAGGAAAGAGAGGTTTAGACCCATTTGAATGTGGGTAATGTTGAATATGTGATCAAGAGTTTCGTTTGAGCTTTGGAGTCAAAGGGTAAAATGGGCAAAGTGGTGTTTTAGACTTCTTTTATGAATTATGGATTTTAGTTCAATGTGTTTTAAGTCAAAAGTAATTAGATAGGGTTGTAGAGCTTCTCAATACCTTTCCGTGGATATAAAGATCGTCGAAAATGGAGTTGGAACGAAAAAGTTATGACCGTTAGAAATGAAGAAGGATTTGGACTTAGTCTAGTACACTGGGCGTACAGGAAGTACGATGGGCGTACTAGGGCATCCCTGGTACGTTGGGCATACACGATCAGTGACCAAACCTAATTTTCGTGGGTTGAGCCTTATTTAAGCTCCTTAACTTCACCAAAACCATTCCATTCTCATCCTCCACCTCTCCAACACCCTCCCTTGAAAACCCTAACCCTAGTTTGAGTCTTTTGAGCAAAATAAGGTGTTATCGAGTGGTTTAGAGTGTTCTTGGTGCATCTTGGAGAAGAAGGAGCTATTTGGAGAAGTGTTGGTTGCATTGCAGCTTGTAGATCCAGACTTTGTTCACCTCGATCTTTTTTCTAGAGGTATAAAACTTGAATCTTGATGATGCATTTGTTAGATCTAGCTATTTTTGGGTGTTATGAGCTTTTGGTCACTTTAGTGCATAAAGTTTAGATCTTGAAAGTTTGTGACCTTGTTATGGATAA